TGAGTCATAACATTTGCATGTGCTAATTTATATGTACAGATACGAATTTAGGCAGAGGGTGGTTTGGGGGGGTGGGGGGTGGGGAGCAAACTCTGACTCTTCTCAGGGTATATTCTGATCCATGGAGTGCCAACAGTATTGTCTGGGCCCAATATGTGGTATAGTGTGCTTTGCAATGTGCCCAACTGCCCTGTAAGCAGGGGGTTTGAATTGTTGAAAAGGGAAGGGTCAGCACAAAAGACCCAGGACTCGGATAACCAATCTGGTTCTCTCTACAGCAGGCATAGGCAAACTCGGCCCTCCAGATGTTTCTGGCCTACAACTCCCATGATCCCTAGCTAGCAGGACCAGTGATGAGATATGATGGGAATTCTAGTCCCAAAACATCTGGAAGGCTGAGTTTGCCTATGCCTGCTCTACAGCATGAGGATCCCCTTCCCAGTGCTTAATGTCTAAAAGAAGAGAGTGGGAGTCAGGGCTGGATTTAGGTTTGATGAGGCCCTAAGCTACTGAAGGTAATGGGTCCCTTTATATGTCCAGCTGTCTTTTGTCAACAACATTTTATAAGAGAGAGAGAGAGAGAGAGAGAGAGAGAGAGAGAGAGAGAGAGAGAAGAGAGAGAGACTATATATATTTCTATATATAGGCACCCTATAGACATGAGCAAACCAGTGATATTTTAGGGAGCAGGCTAGCAGACAGGGCCCATTACTTACATCATAGGAGCTTACACAACACAAAACACTGTTGCTGTATGTAGGTTTTATTTTATTTGTTTTTTATCATATATTTTGGAAATGTACATCCAGATTTATTTATTTATTAATTTTTGGGGGGCCCCCAAAAGAGTGAGGCCCTAAGCCATAGCTTGTTTAGCTTATACGTAAATCCAGCACTGGTGGGAGTGTGTGTGTGTGTGTGTAGCCTAATGATGCACAATCATAGGATGTATTGTGTGGCAGCACCCAGGTATCTTTATTCCAAGATATGAGTGGTAGCTGTTTGTGGCTGCTACTGAATGATGCTGAGAATGCACTCTGCACATGCTTAACTGCACTCATGATGACTACTTTGCACATTCTAAGGCCTAATCCTGGAGCTGAAAGAGGCCCTAGCTCAAATCCAGCTTCACTCACATAGTTTACCCCACAACCTTCTTTAGCCATTGTTTCACACTCACTATCAAAGCATCAAGAGTACTGCATCACCTAACATTCTGCATTCTTTCCCCCCGTGAACATTGCTACTAATGAGCAAAATTAGAGGAATTCTCAGTGTACTCCTATACATTGTTAGTGAAAAGTAAGGCCCATTAAGTTCAGTGGGGCAAGGACTTACTCCCAGGTAAGCGAGTGTGTAGGATTGCAATTTCAAAAGCTCTATACCAGGATGCTATCTGCTAGCCACAGGGGAAATGGTGAGTGTCAAACGACCTCAAGGCTGAAGTTGATGCTTATTCAAAACAGAGGTGCAAGGTCCTGTGCATGAAATGTAACAAGCAAAGGATAAATAATGAACTGACATTTGCACTTAGCCTTGGCCACCTGCCTCCACCTGGAGATTGTCCTCTATGAGATGCCCTAGCAATGTGTCCTGCACAAAGGTTCATTTTTCCAACATCAGGAACTAGTTCTGAGTGTTATGACATGCTGTTCTGCACTAGCTGAATAATAAGAAGCTGTATGCGTGCAAGTGATCTGCAGGGGAAATATTCTGAGGTTTTTAAAATTATTTTAAAGCAGAACAGCTTTTCTTTTGTGGTAGATTCAGATATTCAAAAGAGAATTATAACATGCACAACGAAGCTAAGCTGCTCTGAGCATAGCTGTCAACTTTTTCCTTTTTTTAAGGGAAAATCCTATTCGGAATAAGGGAATTTCCCTTTTCAAAAAAGGGAAACGTTGACAGCTATGTCTCTGAGTCTGGTCAATGTGGCTGGATGAGAGACTGCCTGGAGAACTATAAACATTGCCTTGAATTCCATGGAATAAAGGCAGACTGTTGTGAGGAGTTTCTATTAGATTTCTGTCGCAAGGGGTCTGAGTGTGGGTTGTCCTGAGGCAATACCTGCGGAAACTTCTTAGGCTTGGTGGTTTTTGGTTTTTGGTTTAAGCATGAGTTGTTAGCCAGTAATGTTCAGGTGATGTGCCTCCACAGGAGCTAAGATGGTCCAAGAAGGCTAAGTGGTGGTTGACTCATCCTTATCCCACCCACAGCCAGAGGGAAGTGTAAACTTGGTTTGTATATTAAAGGAAAGCCACAACTGAGAAAGAGGCTGAGGGGGACAGAGCTGGGTTTGTGTTCTGTAAGTGTCTTAGGGTGCTGGCATGGGCATAGCCAGGGTGGGCAGGGGGCAGCTGCCCCCCTAAATCAATCAAAATCAATACAAATCTGCGGTTCTGACCCCCCCTCCAACAAAAGCCTGTCCCCACTAAGAAAAATCCTAGCTATGCCCATGGGTGCTGGCTGTCTCCCTGGATATCTGATGGAAGTCAGTGTGGTGCAGTGGTAAGAATGTTGGACTAAGAAAACCAGGGTTCAAATCCCCTCTCAGTCATGAAATTCACCGGGATAACATTGGGCCTATTTGCATCTCTCAGTGTGCCTACTGTCCAGACTTGGTGCACATGCCAAAGTGGTGCATTTACGTATGTGTCAGTACGCTGGTGGATGTTGCCCATCTTGTGCCAGCAGCAGACATCTGCATACCCATCGCTGCTGATCCAAGGAGTGCGAAGTGTTAGGAAGCTGCCTCTCTGTGTCAGACCGATATCTAGCTGAATATTGCCTGCACTGAACTGGCAGCAGCTCTTGGGGGTTTCAGGCAAGGGACATTCCTAGCCCTACCTAAAGATACTGGGGGTTGTACCTGGGCCTTTCTGCATGCTCTGCCACTGAATTTCAGCCCATCCTAAAATGTTGCTGCACAAGAGGTCAGCACAGTTATGAGCCAAGATGAGGCTTGCAGCTTGGATGCTCTCTGCCCATGGAGGCAAAGAGATCTGATCCACAAGGCACAATTCCATCAGGAAGCCCTGTTGAAATAGATGGGAGCTGTGCAAAAGACTTCTCTTCATTTCTGTGAGGCTTCTACCAGAGGACATCTTGGTAATTGGTAACTGTACCCAAGGAAGAAGAGGGGCCTTTTAGATTTCTTATGCCAGTCCTTAGCTGGGCCTGTTCTGTACTCCTGCTACCTTGGCTGGATCAGAGCCCAAGTGTTTTCTCTGACGTTTTCTTAGAAGCAAGCTACAGATTACTGCTGCAAATTTGACAAACTTCCAGCATTGTTCCTGGCCTGGTGAGCTAAACCTAATGGAATCCCCTCTTCAAGGTGAGGGAGCCCTGTCCTCGTTTGCATTTGCCCCCCCCCCCCCAGTGATGGGGAAGAGGAGCCCACACAGCTGCAATCTGTGGAAAGTGAGTTTAGGCTTGCTGCCTGCTGCTCTCTGCTATTATGATTTTATTTTATTTATTTAGGGAGTTGTATCCAGCTCTTCATGGCAAAAAAAGCCTTTACAAAGTGGCTGATAACATCTGCATTTCGTATCCGGTAATCATAGAACTGTAGAGTTGGAAAGGACCACGAGGGTTATCTAATCCAACCCCCTGCAATACAGGAATACAGGGCTCAAACCCACAACCCTGAGATTAAGAGCCTCTGAGTATTGAACTATAAATTTCAGCTTTCTGGTCTTCTAGGGAATCACCCCGCTACCAGTTATGTGGAAGAAAACAGGACAGGGCATAGAAAGCCTGACCAATACATTTTTTCTAAGGACAGTACCAAAGAGAGGGAATCCCATCTCACTGCTCAGCAGTTTACGCAGTGTTTTCCTTCCTCATATAGCACCATGCATGATCATATTATAAGCAGCAGTGACAGGTGTCTGGTACCTATCTTGGTGTTTAAAACCCTTTGGTTAATTCCCTGAAAGAGAAGGCCAAAACCTGCTTGGATGCCATTATTTCTGACATGGGAGCACTAAGCCCTTCATCCTAGATATGCAGAAGCCAGCTAAGGTTTCTTGGAGGTGAGGGAAATGCACTCTGCACGTGCTCAGATACACTCTGCTATTGACATGCTCCATTAATACGTGTGCAACACACAACCTCCTAAGACAGCAGCATAAAAGCATCCCAGTTCAGAACAGGAAAGATAAAACACTTGGCAGTGAAAACCCAAATCCAGGGACTTAACACATCCTGAACCCAGCTGAGAAGGAACTTCTGAAACCGTTGGGATTTTATGTGGATCAAATGTGAAACGACATGACCAATGTGTGCCAGTAGGTGGCGATGCAGGACCACAAATCGGCTTCCTGATCCCAGGGACACATTTGTGTTTCTAAAGAGGGAGAGGGTGGTGGAAGAAGCAGCAGGCCAGGAGAGGGTGCTAAGGACCTTTGCTTTCCATAGGATAAATTTCATACAGCTGAATCGGGGGAACCTTGTCTGTCACTCAGGATGCCACTGCACACCAAGGGCAATGGGGGAGGATTGTGATTGGACCCCATAAAGCTATTATCAATATGGTTTGCACCACCATGGCTTCACAAACCAGAGTTGCACCAGCTCATTCCTTTCCTGCCTTTTCTGATGCTGTTTACCCCAACTTTGTTTTTCACCCTCTCTTAATCCTAATATATTCTTCCCATCCTGTTTTATTCCTTCTTAGCAGTGGTGCTGTCGGTGTAGGATTTGGGAGCAGAAGCCCAGGGCCCCCCCAAGCAGAACAGGCCAGGCTGACCATGTTTTCTAAGCAAGCAAAACACTACACATTAAAAGAGCCTCCGCCCTGTAAGGCCATTAAGTCCATTGTCTAAAATTACCGTAGAAAGCAACTCTGTATACAACTCTGCTTTCTAGCATGATGCACAATTCCTCTTGAAAGCAGCTGTAATCAAATTCGCTATTTTTTTTTAATGCTTCAAAAGATTAATTTAGTTGTAGAAGAGCATATAAATCAGAGCAGTGATTCTCAAACTCTCTGCCCTCAGGATCCACTTGAGAGGACTGGAATTTGCTGGGGCCTGTCAGTCACAAAATAGTGTTAGATGGAGGTAGGTGGCTTTTACCGACTTTCTACTGATATCTAATCCATCCTTGGAAATTGCTTTGTTCTTTTGCCAGGACAATTTCCCTTGTGGCAAGGAGTTCCACAGCTCTGCTTTCCTCAAGTTAAGAACAGGCATTTGCTCTTGAGGTGTTGTGACTCAGCCTCTCCATTTTAAGCTGATTTGCTTTAAGTGGAAAAGCCTTTTTGTTTTATATTCATAGGCGCCGACCCCATGGGGCTTGAGGGGGCTCGAGCCCCCTCAAAAAATTTTTTGGGGGGGCTCAGCCCCCCCAATAATCTCGGGCGCCGGGGGTGGGGGCTCCTGCCTCGCTGCTTCGCAGCACCACCGCCACTGCCAAGGCACTGCCGGGGGGAATTTCCTTCCTCCTGGCGGTTTCAGCCCCCGCGAGAACAGGGGAATCCCGACTGGCCACACCTCCCAGCCAGCCAATCGGCTGGCTGGGGGGGGCGTGGCTTGCCCTATTTAGGGCCGGAGCCACTTTATTTGCATATTCATGAGCTTATTTATTATTCATGAGCTTTCCCGGGCCCCCCCAATATTTTTTATAAGTCCGCGTCCCTGTTTATATTTTTTCCCTTCCCATCCCCACGTCTCTTAAAAATATTTTACCTGTCTTCTGTGATTTCTTCTCCCACTCTCGTCACACGCAAATTGTACTCTATCCCCCCTGCATCGCAAAAAACCCTACTAGTTAATTTCATCTTTCCTTTCCTGTCCTTTTGCAGTTACTTTTCCTAGAATACCTTTTCTTTCTTACCCATTCCTTTCTATTCCCTGTTTGTTTACTATCAATAATAAATATATTTCTAATATCTAACATCAATCACTTTGCGATTTCCTTTAACACCTCCTGTGGCTCTTTCCCATCACAGGAGGGATGATCTCCCGTCCACCTGCCACCCCAGCCTTCAACTGCTGTCTTCCGGCCGTCTTTACTCAGCATTTAAGAAGTTGTTGGTGCAAACCTTGGTTGGGCCCAAAGGCTACAGCACAGCTAGAAGCTTGGGACAGGCAAGGCAGGATGAACTGGCAGGCCATAATACTGAAGCCCACCTGAAAATGAGCCCACATCCTGGGCTGATATTTGAAAAACACTGATTCAGAGCATATTGCTTCGCCATCGTTTTTGCACACCTGGGCTGAGGGAACGTGCCTTCCAGAAAGGTTTTTGTCCTAGCACCTGATTTTGTTACAATCTCCAGATGTTAGAAAAGCAGATGCAGAATTTTATATCCTTTCCTCCCTCCGTGTCTTTTTAATGGACGTGTTTCAGTTCCCTGTGATTTTCAAATCAAAACAGTTCTCTGGCGCCTGTTGACCCCCTTTTCTGGTGTATTTACATACATTGGCCATGTAGTCATGCAGAAGGAAGTTTCCTCATCTGCTAGGCCGCGAGCGCTCGCTTTGGTCCTAATGTGTCCTCCCACCCTCCCCACCCCATCCTTGCCCGCCCATGCTATAAATAAAGGAGCAAGGCCAAATCTTGCTGCAAAAACAAACTTAGGCTCCACGCAGCAAGCTGCACACAAGGCAGCCCCTGAAAAGAAAAATATTTAAGTACAATAAAATGCATCATATGGCCTGTAGCTGGGGAGTCATTTATGGATGACTTATTAACCTTTCCCAAACCAGGCTCTGTAGTGGCAGGGTGGGAGACGGCACAGTGATTTCACTTGCAATTCCCTGCTGTTTGGGGAGAATGAAGACTACTGCTCTGTTCAACTTCGGAACCCAATCCAATGGTCTGATGTGCAAGGCAAAAAGGCAATGGGAAGACCAGGTTAGGGCTGTCACCTGGCCCTGATCCAGTGCCCTGATACACACAGGAATTTAACAAAGGAGGAATCACCTCCACCCTTATTTTATTCATTTATTGATTACATCCCACTTTTTTTCTCCAAAGCGGCATACATTGGTTCCCCCTGCTCCTCATTAAATCCTCAAAACCCTGTCCGTTAGGCAGTGATTGGCCCGTCACTTAGAGAGTTTCACGGCTGAGTGGGGATTTGAACCCAGGCCCTAGGCTGAGACTCAGTTCACCTCACTGCACTGGCTCTCAGCCCTGCATCAACCTGTGTGTGCAATAAATATTTGGAGACTGATGTGTTATGCCTGGCTGTGAGGAAGAGGACTGAAATATACTCATAGTCGCAAAGTGATTTCATGCTCTTTATTCAGCTCATAGTGGTGAGGAGGAATGAAAAGTCCCCTCAAAGTATCTGCTAATTCCGGAATTCTCCTGTAGGCCAATCAGGTTGTGGATTCACTTCCATCTGGAGCCGGATTGGGTGGCTCCTGCAGACCAATCATACTGCTGCATTGTTCTAGGACCAATCAGACTGCTGCATTCTGAATCCTATTGTTCTAGGACCAATCAGACTGCTGCATTTTGGATCCTATTGTTCTAGGACCAATCAGACTGCTGCATTTTGGATCCTATTCACTCAGTACATAACAAGGGCCTTCTCAGGTGTATTCCAGCGGTGCTGAGAAAGACCCCCTAACTGAGACCCTGGAGAGCTGTTGGCAGTCATTGTTAAGGAAGCTACAATTGTCTCATTCAATATAAGGCAGCGTTCTACATTACCTTGTGAATGGCGTTTTTGGAAGCAGACCGTTTAACTCAATATTGTTACCATCTACACTGCAGTGGCTTTGCAGGGTTTCAGACGGGATTGTCGCCCATCCCTACCAGTATATGCCCGAGGCGAATGTGGAAGAAGCCTGTGTTCTTCCACTGAGCTGTGCAAGGCACACAGTGCAGAGACCATTAAGGAGCATGCATAGGCTTGGGTGTGGAGAGCAGGCCTAGTTGGGTTCGTTGTACTAAGTGACAAGTTCCAGAGCAGAGTCAAAGTGGAGTCGGCAGGATTTGAACACCGTCATGTCTTAATGGTTGGCGATTTGGGTGTCGGAGCTGGGAAAGGCAGGGGAGACTGAACAAGCACAATTCTGCAAACCCCACTGTGGTCTACAGGAGCAGTGCAAGAATATCGCTGTGCAGCAGACATGCAGGAAGGATTGAGCCTGTTTGTGTACTAGAGGCAGCCCAACTCTGATAGGCAAGGTGAGGCGGCCACCCCAAATGGTTGTCGTCAAGGGTTGGCGAGACAAGAGTCACTCCGTGGGACTCAAGTCCTCCAGGAAGTTATCCAAGAGCAGCTCCACAGAGGTCCCATCCTCTTGGACAATTCATTTCAATGGGGTTTGCAGAGAACTTTCTGTGGGATGATGCCTGTGTGCACAGCATGTTTCTGAGTGGGGCGCCATTTGCACTGGACTCCTTGAGGATTTTAACTGGAAGCTTCTGAGCAGATCTGGGAGCTTAGGCTGGCTCTTTATGCACAGAAATGGGCTCATTATAAAACAACCACCACCACCAATACTGCAATGGCTGCACCTGGCAGGTAGGAAAGACAAAAAGAGGACACTGGAGGCCAATGGGCTGCAGTATTAAATTTGTCATGAAGCTCAGAACCACACTAAGCAACCAGTTTTGCCAGTAAACCACTTTAGCAAGGTAGTAAATTGGAAGACCAAGGTCCCATGGCCAACCTTCTATCACAAAATAGCTTAGTGCCAAGACCCATTGCCATGGCTTCTGCATCACACTTCTCCATTGAATGCAAGTTGGCAACTGTGCTTGGGGGGTTGAGGAGGAGGGACAGTTGCCATTGCCCAATTGTCCATTTTCTTCAGAACGATAAGCAAGTCTTTACTGCAAGCAAAGGTTTTACTGTCACCTTAACAAATGGGAGACACTGAGAAAGGATATGATTATCTCGGGACTGTAATGTCATTATATCCCAGAAGAGGTCAGGCAAGGGAAGTTTAGAGTGGGCTATTTGCAGCAATTGTGAAGGAACCAGAGCAAAAAAATTAAATTAAAACTGCACCTCTGAAAAATTACTTAGATGGATTAGCCTGATTTGAGTTTTCAGGCTTACCATGTCATTACATTTATTCAAGTAATGCAGTTGTTAGGCAGAACTGCCGATTAGCAGGAATTATGGGAGTTGTAGTCCAAAAATGGGAAGGGCTGTAATAAGATTATTCTATTACTTTGTTTAGAACACTTTAAAAATATACACACACTTTCCCCAGCCCTCCAAAGTTACACAGATGAGTCCCTGGGAAATTAGCATTCTCTCTACTTGTCAGAGTCACCAACCAACTTGTACCCACTGAAATGTTCCATCCTCATCCTTTGGGGCAAATGGGAAGGGCTCACAAGAACAGGGCAACGTGAGAAAATGTAAAAACAAAACTCTCCAACGCCGTGTCTTTTGCTGTGGGTGACTTTATTTTAATAAGGACCACTTAATTTGTTCTTTGGCAGACTGCAGAACCTATGAACAAGTTGGAGGGGGGAAGAGAGAGAGAAAATGAGAACAATTAATTGCTTCTGTCTCCAGTGTTTTGCCTACAGGCTAGGCCAAAGGGATGGGGAATCTGTAGGCCCTGCATTGGGGAAATTTGATTAGCCATTCTGAAGTTAAAACTAAAGGGATCTGTTGTTTGCATTTCTTTGCATCTTTACAAGCTTATCTTGGGAGATGGTTAACAAAGAGCAAGTCCAGAAATAATTTCACAGGAGCCAAAAGATCATCGGACCAAATGTGACTCTATGAGGCAGGACCACCCAGCACTACCACCCTCAAAACACATCCCCTACCCAAATCATCCAAAACACAGCATCTCTCAAACAGAAAGCAGTGCATTGTGGAACATGTGTTCTAATAATCCCGGTCAACCAGATCCACAATGTAGATGCAAGTCAACCAGCAGATGCTGTGGTTCAAACCACCCTGTAAATCAGGAAAACATGTGGCCCTTCAGGTGTTGTTGGACTGCAACTTCCATTGTCTTGGCCACACTGGCTGGGGCTGGTGGGAGTTGGGAGTCCAATTCCCCATTCCTACTGAGAGTCATTTCTTTTGACATGGAAGATCTTTCTCAGTCCTGAATATGCAGTTGCCAATTGCAGTTATACAAAGCTATGGAAAAGGCACTCTGCATGTACTCAAGAGGCATACTGATGTTTGTTAGTCTGGTGCCACATCTGCCACTGCCTTTTTTTTATAAAAAAAAAAAAGCTCTGGGAGCTAAATCCAGATGAACATTCTAAAGGAATCAAATCTTGGGAAGGGTCTCAACCTAAATAGCTGAACACCAGGGGGCAGGTGTGTCTTTTAGATGAAGAAGGGGTGATCAATGAATGCAAAATCAGGCTCTAGGACAGACACAAAAGTTTGTGATGGCCTGGGCAACTCTATGCTAAGGACTTCCCAACTCTGAGTTCTCCCTCTGTTTAAAAATGATGAACTATATCATGTCCACAGTAATCTGATCACAACGTTTAAGCAAACATTGGTGCATATAGAGATATGCCAAGCATTTATGTGTGATGGCCTTTAGTTTTCCCATTGTGGACAAAGGGAATATTGGGCCCCAGCATGTCCTCTGTCCCTCACTGTAATGTGTCCCTTAGTGCCAGCTCCTCTCCCCTGACCCCCTCCTCGACTTTCTCCCCAGCTATGACGCTAGACCTATGTAAAGTGTGCTTGCAGTTGCTAGGCAACATGTGGCCCCACGGTGCTGGTTATGCGAAATGGTGCAGTTGGCTGCAAGTGTGCCCTATAGGCTAATACAGATTTAAACTGTCTTAATATTCATTCCCTCGTTCTAAGGAATCTTGGGAGATGTAGTCCTGTGCGGAAAGCTGCAAATCTCTAATGAAGAATTCTTAGCATTTGAATCAAACTACAACCCACGATTGTCAAACTAGATAACGCCCATATACGGTAGATATGTAGGGTACATGTATGTTGTAAGATGGTGGAGGCATATTTCACACAAAAAAGTTGTCGAGCTACAAATTGTATTCTCCCATTTCGGCAATTATTCAGGAGGGACTGCAAAACACAGCCAAAATGACCTCTCATTCGGAGTGAAGGCAGAAAGCATTGCCCTTCATTCTTGCTTAGTATCATCACTTAGCATAATCTGATGGGCTATGTGGTATCATCAGGGAGCCTATTCAGAGTGAAAGCAGAACTCTCTGCCTTCATTCTGATTTGGCTTTGTGAAGCTGTCATGCAGCCATTCCTGCATGAAATCTGATGGCCTCACACTACCTATGCGATCCTTGGCTGGCTGGTGTCAAAGCTACAGACAAGGAAAACAAGCAAGTTCAGGCAATGAGCAGCGTGTGGAATAGTTAAGCAAGTGAAAATTCCCACCAAGACTCTTTCTCTGTGAAAAAATTAAATTGACAAAATTGAGTATACCCCTAATATGCCACAGAGAACTGGGAGATTAAAAAAAATGTTGAAGGAAACAGCCACATA